GAAGTAACGTTATCTAGCATCATTCTAGGTATCTACCTTTTGTAGGTTTAATTTAATGAGTATTGTGACTTTATATTTAAATGAATATATCATTCAATGTCATATAATTGTCATCTAAACTGGTACTTAACATCAATAGCGGTGTATAGCATTACTCTAAAGAATTTGTTGGAGTGTATAACAATTTGTTTACACTTTAAAGCTCTCTATTATGATCAAGACGTTATTCAGAAATAAAGGGTGGCTTGGAAATACTCTAAATTACATATTTTCTTTGGAGGAAAACAAGCCGAAAGGTCGATCGTATGGGGGGAAAGGCAAAATATTGCATTGTGTCAGCACACCTGCATTGGAAACTTTTTTAGGTTGATATTCAAATACCATCCATTATATATCGACGCGATTTTCTCTTATATTTAGTACGTGATCAAGGTTTTTCAAAGATAAAATGTAAGTTTAGTGTGGTAAAGTCAAAGTAATATTTTTTCTACGATACTTGGGGGTTTGAGTGAACGAGAAATTCAATATAGTCATAATATTTTATCATATAACAAGAAAATTCTTGAACAATCCGTCCATTCAGAACGCAGTAGAAAACTAAAAGAGTGGAATAAACCTGCTAAGAAAAATAGGTTAAGGATCAGGTTGCAACAAAGTTCATAGGTTAGGGACTAATATCACAATCTCGCCAATAAATACCGAGTCTCAGCAATACTAACATCGAACTACATGCAAGGCAACACTGGTGCATATAACCTTTATTTTTACACTTCAGACTTCACAATCATAGTCACGAGAAATATATACACTACCCACTCGAGCCATATTACCAAGTTTTGTACTCCAACTTGTTTTCACATATATGACACATCAATTGTCATGTCAAATGATGAAGTCCAAATCCTGAAACACAATTTTAGACGAAACAAAGATAAGTTGACAAAATTCATCCAAATTGATAGTGTACCTTTCATTTTAATGGAAGCCATTAGACCAATGTTAGACAATTTCTCTCTACTTGTATTATCTCTGTAGATTTTATGAAATCAAAAAAGAATATTACTTCTCTTTCCTGTTTGTTTTATCTGAAAAAGTAACTATCTTCAGATTGTTAGAACTTAGAAGGAGAAATCTCTAGAAACAATCTTAACTGCTACTATAGGAGTTATCAATCACAAAGTTCAATTAAATATAGTTATCGTATTCTCGAATCCTTTAGGACCATTTGGTTTGTGTTTCATTTTTCAGTTTTCGGTTTTGAAGGTTTGTTTTAAGATTGTAAAAAATGTGTTTTGTTTGTCATTTTGAAAAATTATTTCTTAAAATAAAAAAAAAAAGTAGAAAACACGTTTGGTTTGAAATTTTGAATAATTATTTCATGAAATTTGATTATTAAGTAAAAATAGAAAATTTTAATGTTAAAATAATATTTTTTTTCTCGCAATAAAAGTAAAGTAAAACTGAGTTCAAATTTTAGGAAATAAAAATAAAATTTAATTATTTTGACTGAGATTATTTTTATGTTTGTTCATTTAAATATTTTTTTAGAATTTTTATGCTAAAAATCATTAAGACCTTGAACTATTTTTATTTTTCAAGAAATTTTTATAACTGAATTTTTTTCAAAATTCTTATTTTTATTTTTTAAAATTTATTTTTCTTGAATTTTATTATATATATAAATTTATATATTTTTTTTTTTTTTATTTATTTTTTTTTTATTTATTTTATTTTATTTTTCTGCCCCCCCCCCTATTGGCCAGAATTGGTTTGGAAAGCAAAACGATTTTTGAGCTGCATTCCACCTATCTCTAAATCATACCTTTTTCTGTTTAAATGAGAACAAAAATTATATTGTGGATGTTTGGGCATGTGTGTGACTTAAATGATCATGGCTTAGAATGTTGTTACATGTAGGTGTTTTTAAATCATATGAACAACCTAAGAGAAGTCAAGAAAGAGCTACTCTGTATTAGCTGAGTCAAAACATCAGACCCTCCAAAAGATTTATCTTCTCATTTAGTTGGCCGGACCTCTATTCAGGCCAAGCCTACCATTGCTGATGCTTAAATTATATTCATGAGTAAACCACTTTTTCTTCAAACCTTTGTGCTTGTGCTCGTTTGGATTCATGGACACTTCAAGTTATCAGGTTATAGTTCCATTCGTGGTTTTAAAATATCTAGAAAATTTCCCATGTTTTAAAAGATTCTACCTAGATCCACAGTTAGTTATCGATGGATCAACAACTGAGATCTGTGTGGGGGATCTCTTTGCTTTGCCACATTCTACTAAGTTATTAAGCTGACTCATGTTTCATTAAACTTATTTCTGTGACTGGGTAATGGGATAGTGAAACTAGAGTTCGAAGTGATAGACTAATTTCTACCAACTGATAGATTATTAGTTTATTATGAGATCAAACACAACAATTTCACCCTGGATGTTTTGTGTGCTTGATTGCTGGGGTCTTGAATTCTTGTGGAACTACATTAGGGTTAAGTATTAAAAGACATAGGAGTAACCAGTAAGTTCACAAAACTTATTGGTAAAAATGTAATTATCCCTTCTTATGTGAAACATGCAATTATCCTCTTTCTTCAACCTTAATTTTAGGTACGTAATTAAAACTCTTATTGTTAATCAATGCAGGCCCAGATAAAAAATAAAATAAAAAATCAATGTAGTCAAGATGATGATACATCCTCTGAGAAATTAATGGGACATAGTTTGCACTACTTCTTTTTTCTTTGGTTTTAATACTGTGATCCATGTTTCCATATTTTAAGCATCTGGGATGTAAATTTTTCTTTTTCTCTGCCGTTTCCCTTTCCTTGGAATTAGTTATGATAATGATTTAAAGCTTATGCTGTGAAAAATCATCGAGTTAGAATTATTCTACTAGATAGATCCTTATTCACCAGAGATAAGGATTGAAATGTTAGTTTGAAAGTTGTCGAGTGTCTTTGACCGATTTGATTTTATATATTATAAAGAGAGGAAGGATGTTAAGAAATGGTTAAATGAACATTTGAACTCTTGCCCATCTAGCCAGATCATCAGATGTGAATGACTAATGTGTCAATTGTCTCATACTTCAATTAGAATTTCTTCATAATTTGCTGTAAATACTCTCAGTGAAAGCATATCTGTCTTTATTTTTCTTGGACCTAGGAATTCTTTTAGTTCTGCATGTTTTTCAACTTCGGGGAAGAGTCTTTGAAAATTATTCCAGATTAGTTTGAGAACTTAAGTCGTCATGTTCACTGCTTGTTCTTGTAACACATGGAGTTTCTTGAGGTATACTTGCAAAAACTTATTGTGTAACATGTGGATATGATCACTTATGTTGAAGATATAGTTGTTAGCTCGTGTTATTTTCATAACTCTGTACTCAAGAACGAGAAGTTTTGTAGGGAGGATTGCATAGTACCGGTATAAAGGAAAGACATGCTTATTATAATACCGTGGACAAGATCTCAGATTCTTTTTCTTCAACTTGATTTGCCCTTAAATGCTACCTCGTGTATAAATGATAGATACTCTATGCTTACCTATAATATTGTTGGGTTAGACATAGTTAAAAAAGGTTATTTAGGATTCTTCATAAACGACACTTTATGATTACCTATAATATGCCTCAAATCTCACGATATGCGATGCTTTCATAAAAATGCCTCAAAGCATACTCCGTGAACACCATTTGTGAGGCTTACACCTCAAGACTAGGCCTCAAGGAGACTAAGGTGTTCGCAGTTCGTACCTAATTTTTAATTTTTAAAATCTTATTTAAATAAATTTTTATTTAAACGTTAGGTTTTCATGTTGAGTGTTTTCAGAATTTTCATTGAAAACCTCAAAAATGCATTTTGAGTTTTTTCTATAAGTTTATCATTGTTTTCAAAAATTCATTAGCAAAAAAAGGAGACCAAACACATTTTTAGTATTTTGCAAAACTGAAAACTGAAACGAATTGAAAACAACAAACCAAACGCACTCTAACTTGCTTGAAGTTCAAAACTAGAACAATTGAATATATTTTTGGTGATAGCTAATATAAGAGTTACTATGTTTAATGACGAGTGAGATTTTTGCACTTATCTCGGCCTTTAGAATTGAATATTTGTGAGTACTTTTGATTGTAATTATACTTAGTTTATTTTATTTTATTTTAAATTTTGCTTGTTTTAGATTCAAATGCAATGAAGGACGAAGAATGGGGCAACTATGCAAAAATTGACTAAAGAAGATTGAAGAAGAACAACTTGAATTTATGTGAATTAATGCACTTATGCTCGTTGGAACTTACGTAGAGATATAATGATTTTGCACATTTAAGTAGGACTAATTTTGGTCACGAGAGATTATTAGTTAATTAGGATAATTCGGTTGTTAACGCTCGTAGGTAGCGCTTTTGTGAGTTAAACGAAATTAAGCCCTCGTTTGACACCCATTTTTTTTTCATTCTCATTCTCATTTTTTTTTCTCTTTTTTCATTTCAACCACACATTCTATTAATAAAATAATACTACACATAAACCCAAAAATTCTCATTACTTTTCNAAACCCAAAAAATCTCATTACTTTTCAACCACACATTCTTCCATCAATCACTATTCCAAAATTTATTTTTTACCCACACATTCTTCCATCAATCAGTATAAATTGACCTAGGTTAAATCAGAATTCCTAACAAGTTAATCTCATTAAAATCTTTCGTGAAGTTTTTGCGTATTGATTTTTTGGTTAAATTTTAATTAAAAATTGAAGTTTTATCTCCACATATTAAAACATAATCGACTCAAGTTCGTTCAAACACAAGCTAGGGTTAAGTTAATTGATAGTTCATAGCATTAAGTTTTGAGGTAACAACACTTGGACTCGTATCCATATTACTACTGGTCACAATACCATACACTAGCAATTTATTCGAACAACAATGCCGCTTTATTTATTTTACGAAGTAAGTTCTGCTATAGGAGTCCAATCACAAAGCTTATTTAGGCATCGCTAACAGGCCTGAATTCCTCCAATTCCTTGGAGTTCCCTGGCTTGACCCACACCTTAGCTTCATACACTTTATTCTTATTCTCCCCGCGGTCGACTACCTCCAGCTTTAGATAGTACATGAGCCCTGCCACCACTTGCTGTTTCGCATCCAGTACCTTCTTCAATTCTAGAACTAACGCATTCTGCAATCATAAGGGAAGAAAAATAAATGAGATTTCAGACTTAATTCCAACATTTCATACATCCATGAAAATAGCAGGTAATTGCGGTTAACAAGATGTAAACAATAATCGTAGTTGAAGATTAACAAAATAAACACAAAAAAAAGGTGAAAAAAAAAAACCTGTTTTTTGTTGTATTCTTCAACGGCAAAACGAGCGAGACCTTCAATCTCAAGGCTGTTCTCAAATCCTGGGATCGTGGTAATTCCTCCAAGGACGGGCGTGGCGGCGGCCATTCTGACAAATTACTGAATTTTCTTGCTAAGAAAACTCTCTCTTTCTTTCCTTCTGGTGTTTCTTTCCTTCTGGTGTGTGAATAGTTGAAGGCAGTTCAAGTGATTTATATGGAGACTGGAGAAAGAGTGAAACTCGCGATTAACCAATCAGCAAACCTGTAGAATCAAATGAAATACACATGGAACAATTTCAAATTTTGGACCATATTATGGGATAAGATTTTTAACAAGTGGTTGGCTTTTAACATCAGTCTTAAATTCTCAATTTTTAATATTTCTTTTGGATTCTTCATTGAAAAATATGTTTTTTTCTTAAATTCTCAATTTTATAACATATGTATTGTTACATTATCGTCACCATCACTTGTAACATATCTTGTTATTTTATTACAAGTTATTACCATCATTTGTAACATTCATTACTACACCATCGTCATTATTGCCTCTGCCTTTACCGTTACCACAACTTGTAACATTATTATTACACAACTTGTAGCATGAGTCGACTCAAGCAGCGATGATAACTGTGGTGGCAATAGTAGTTGATGGTGGCAACAATGTTGTGGTAGGTTGTGTTTTGTATGGTTGGTGTGAAAATTTGATTTTGATAGGTTTCCTAGAGTTTGAAATTTTAAACAGTGATGTCTAAATTTAGAGTGTGTTTGGTATGAATTTTTGGAAGAAGAATTGATTTTTGAATAATGATATGATGGGAAATATGTGGTTGAAAAAGAAGAAAAAATTATTGATGTGATGGAAAATATTATTTTATTGAAGAATGTGTGGTTGAAAATGAGAATTGATTTACTGTAGAATCAAAAAATCAAAAACAAATATGGATTATTTGGAGGAAGAATTGATTTTGAATAGTGATATGATGGGAAATGTGTGGTTGAAAAAGAAGAAAAAATTATTGATGTGATGGAAAATATTATTTTATTGAAAAATGTGTGGTTGAAAATAAAAATTGATTTACTGTAAAAAATGAGAATCTGTACCAAACAGGTTCTTACAATATTAAACAATAATTTTAAAATTAGTATGTAAAACTAGTCATGGGGCAAAATGACTTCATTTCTATTTTGGGTGGGCCACATTGAGATCCTCCAAGGGAAAATTAGCATAGCCCAATTTGGATTTATCTGTATCTTGGGCATGGCCCATTAGGAGATCCCAATCTGGCTTTAACATTTGGGTTGGATAAGTTTTGCTTGGCCCATTGTTAAACGACACAAAACGGAAGAGCGTCCTCCGACCCAGCATTTGCCCAGTAGAACATTTCTCAAACTTCTTGCAACTTTTCTCTTCACACACGCATAACCTGACAATCGGTTCAATTCATTAGCTTGTGTGATTTCAACAATGGATTCTCCGCCGGAAAACGAATCAGTACCGGCGAACAGCGTCAAAACTCTAGTATCATTCTCCTCTAACTACCTCTATAACCGTTTTCTCACTTTTTTCCGAACTTCAATGAACCCCAACAATTTCATCTCAAAAATCTTTAGCATCTACAGCTCCAAAAAACGACGTCGCAGGAAGACTTGTCTCCCCCTTCCCTTGCCCCCCGCCACCACTACTGTTTCGCATGATCAACCTTCTGTGTAAGATACTAAGATCCATTATCACACCTGTTAAGATTTATCGTCTATCCATTTTGTACCCTTCATTTTTTAAGAGAATGCAATTAAACTAGTTGGGCGTTTATTGTGGATAATTTCAGATGGTGCAAATTTTTTGGAGAACAATTGAAAAAAATGTAGTGATTAAAAATCGAAATTATAAATGAGCTCACTGTGTTTATGGTATTGAATGTCGCAGAGAAGGAAGTAGGAAGGGTAGAAATCTTTGCTACGGTGAATGTAACTGATGGAATGAGTATTTATGTGTTATGATTGAAAACTACATTTTTCATGTGAAACTTCATTATCTGTTGAATGGAAAAGAAAATGAATCCCAAAGTTTGTTCCTTGCTCCGATATGCAGGATGACATCTGAGGGGCATAGAATATTTGAAGCATTAGAGGATATCATGGAGCATGCACTTCAAAATTTGCACAACATCCAAAAGAATTTACAGTTTTGGCAATCTAGAGCTGAGGTCTGCTTAAATGAGTGTTTGCTTTGGCCAAATCTATTGTTTATCCGGTGTACAATTGATTTCAAGCTCTCTGGTTTCTGTAATTATAATTGTTTCATTTATGTTTCAGGGTTCGAATGCCCAAAAAGCATACTTCATGCTATGTGAAAGAGGGCCATATGCATTTTTCAGTGGTACAACTCAATTGATACATGATTATCTTGCTGAAGGTTCTGGCATGCAGCGTGTCTACTGTTCGGCATCTTCACATATATCTGAAAGGATTAATGCCTTGACCAGTTTAAGATACTTTTTGGCTACTTTTTTGGCAGAGGTACATTGTTTCCATTTCAGATGTTGCATATAAGGCACCAACTGACACTTTTCTAGGTTAATAATGATAAGGTGTAGCCAAGGAAAAATTTAGAAGAAGTGAGCAAACTTTTCCTATATCTCGAATGGACTTCATCATGTAAACTAGGTTTTTCGCCTACACTTTTTAAAACAATTTTCCTTTTTTATTTATTTATTTTTATTTTCATGTTATAACACTAACTTGGAGTCAATCTCCGCCTGACCACTTATGTGATGAAATATGTTCCTGACCTGCCCTAACTGCATTGATGTTATATGACGTATAAAATTATTCGTGTCTGCTGGATTTATGATCTTTCATTTGCTTGAAAATGAACATAGGTATATGTGGAGGTTGACAGAGTTGGAGAGGATTTAGTTAAGGATTTGGAGAGATCGTTGCCCTCCTTCTTAGTTTCAATCAACGAGCTATTTATGAAATTGGAGGCATCCATTGGGCATTTCCACGCAAATCGTCAGGTAACTAACGGGATATGTAGACTTCAGTTTCTAACCTTAAACATCTGTGTAATAGTTGAAATATCTTCGAATGTTTTCTTGTGGCTGTGCAACATTACAGTATGCCTACACAGTGGCGGAGCCAAGATTCAGATTTAGTGGGGCCTAATTTAACTCTAGAAAAAAAAATGCAAACGCAAAATATAGTAATAAAAAAATGTAAAACAAAAATTCATATAAATAAAAAAATTTAAATTACGGTCAGGGCCATGAACCCCACCTCCCTTGCCACTGCGCCTACGCAAAGCATTGAGAAATTATACTGCTTTGATTTATTACTGACTATTTTGTTCAAGATGCTACAGTTTCTAATTCATTGACCATGCAGAGTGGCTCCTCTGTGGATGGAAGCTATTCATTTCCTCTAATATTTGCAAAACTTTCGGAAGTAAACCAGGAAGGTTCTCAGTGGACAGATTGTGAGATCAGAGATGCTATCAATTTGATCTCTCAAAACCTACACAGATTGGACTCTTATTTATCTATGCTTGTAAGGGTTTTGTACAGACATTCTTGTCATCAACACTCTTTAAGATTATTTTTTAGTTGGTTAATTGAATTTCTTTCTTTGATGGCACTGCAATAACTATGACTTCAATGAATTATTTCTCTTAAGTGTCCTGAAAAAGTTCTGGGGCTGTATCTATTGAATTCATGCCACAGAAGCTGCCACATTAATCAATTGAGTAGAAAATGCTGTAACTCTAAGTAGAAGAAATGATTTATAAATAGGGTTTAGGACTATTGTGAAAATAGTTAATGACAGATAAAAAATTTAATGGATTGTGATTATTGGAAAAGTTGTTCTCAAGCGATCTTTTCCTTGTAACTTTAACTAAAATGCTCCTGTATCCTTTTGTTTTAGTTTGTGGGGCTGTAAATGAATATTTGATAACGATATAATGAGGAATAATTGTTGTGGTGTGCATCTGATCTCGGTTTTTGAGACCAACTTGACCATTGACAATTTGCATAAAGTGCTTCTTGGCCATTTTCTTTATATGGTGATGTTCCTGAAGGAGATGTGGCATTTTTTTTTTACTCGGTCTTTTTGCTGCAACATTTATCCTCAGAGGCATCTCTCTCATGTTAGATTGGGTCTTCGCTACTGGCTAGATTACGACAAGATATAGCGTGTGATTCTGATTGTTAGATTTAAACATTGGGATGGAAGACACAAGACATGATACAACACTTTTTCCTCGTGTAAATATTCTGGAGAGATTTGGATGCTTTACACATGTAACCTGTTTTAGAAAAATTGAATGAGTTTATTGGATTTGGTTTGGAACAGTCAATAGTAATTATGAATTCTCCTAGTTTTACTGATTATAGGAAGGATGCTCATCTAAATCATATCTTACTCCTTCTGTGTTCTTATTGTGATCTGTCTAATTAGTTTCAGACGCAACTACCTTTCTAGGTTTCCAAACATCGTAAGCCAAGGACAGTGACTTTATACTGGATGCGCTATAGCTGTGGCGTTGTTGGCATTTCTGTTTGTTCAATATGGCTTCTTCGTCATAGTAAGTTGACAGGAAGCTCTGATATTGACAATTGGATTCGTGAGGCAAAGGATTCAACAATTAGCTTTTGGAATGATCATGTAGAGCAGCCTGTAAGATTTTTCTCGAAACTGCATGAATAGTTAGTGTTGATAACCTTTAAATTTTTATTTTATGTTACCGGATGTGTTAAACTTCAACAGTATTTCTACCTTTGTCCAAAACATTCATTAATGATCATATGTTAGCAAATTTCTGCAACAGACATCTGGAAGAAAAGAACAGAAATTTCTCATGAATATCAAATTGCTTACAAAGAATATTATTTTGTTTGAATTGTTTGTGAAGAATATTAGAATCATTTAATGATTTCAAAAATCAGTTTAAGTAATGAGTGATCACATCCGTTTCATCTAGACTGTCATGTACTAAATGATGATATGTAACTAGCATGTCTAAATGATTCCTTAGATGTAATAAAAGTTGCAGCAAGTTTTGACTAATTGTATGTATCACAGAAGATGTGGCTACAGTAGATGTATCTCACTTGGGTACCCGAAGCCCCCCACCCATTAGGTCTAGGTGGAGACCTAAAATCCCGCCTAGGCGTTGAGGTCTTTTGATAAAAAGAAAAAAAAAAAAAAATCCTCCATCCGCGCAATGCCATTTTTCTAAGAATGTTCCTGCCATGTAATTCTAGGAAATTCAACACTCGCAAATTCATAGGCAACAACTGACTAAGCCTTATTTCAGTAAACTTGGTTGACTATGTTAATTTTTTAGCCTCTCCATTGGGTCAAATGTCATATCTATTGAAAGGTTCAAAGCAATTGAATGCTTGTTAACTACATCATGCTGTGATAATTTTGATTTACCTCACCCTCTTTTAATTTGTTCTACTTGATTACATTACCCTTGTGACTGAAAGCTTCTTTCGGTCTGCATAATCATACTCCAACCAATGAATTTGTCCCTTAATTTATTATAACAGGCGCTATCTTCACTTGTTGTCTTATGTCGGTGACAACAATTTTAGGGAGGTGACAGAATACTATCTATGCATGTATCCTGATGTGGTCTTTATGGAAAAACCCAAGTGTGTATATCCTGATTTCACCTTTATTAGGTAAATAACTGATGTATTTGATATTCTAAAGCTTAATTTATTTTTCTAGTTTCGATTTATAAAAATCAAATTGGCCATTCTTATGATAAGAGATCTTTCCACATCTTATGCACATTTTGACTTTTGAAATTACTTATATTTATAGTTGGCTCTCTCTTTCTAAATTCATTTTTTATCAGCTTCTGTCTATAAGGAATGAGCTTTTTGAGACTTTTCGGAAAAGGCAAAAAGGTGGAATGGAACGTGAAGAAGTGCAGTTGACCGCTGACTCTCTACACAGGTTGATTGGAAAGTTGATAAAAATTGTATTCTCTTAGTTGTCTCTCTGTCTTCATCTCTACACACACACAGACATAATTAATGAAAGTTGAAGTGTTCTTAGTTGTCTCTGTCTTCATCTCTACACACAGAGAGAAACATACTTGATGAAAATTAAGTGTTCTTAGTTGTCTCTCTGTTTTCATCTCTGCACACACAGACTCTTTTTGCCAATTTCCCATTTGTCATTTTTTGGAACCTTTATTTATGCTTTTGTTGGACATTTCCTGCACTAGTACCAGTATATCTCCTTGTTTCTGCTTATTCTTACACCAGAGTGTACTAATCCTTCTGTGTTATTTAGTTTCCTCACAATTCTTGAGTTTTTGAAATTCCTTCTCTCTCCTAACATTTTTGAACAAAATGATGATTGTTCAATATCTTCCATCAATTACAAAAGCACCAATTATATTATTCTTGCATTAATACGTAAACCAAGAATAGACTCAAAGGGGAACAAATAACAAAAAGTATACCTGATAGAAACGAGAACTGAACTTAAAATGCTGAATTTCACAGTAACATGATAAATTATATATGATTCAGGAGTAGCACTGGGAACTGATAAAGTTCATGATGAATTGGAGTTGGCAATTCAAATTTCAAAATCTTACTGAAATGAAATTATTAGCAACCAACAATCTTAAAACTGCCCCGCCTTCCTTTCTGGAGGATTGCCATCTTTTTGCCATTTACAATGTCAAGACAATTTATTTTGAAGACAAATGTTGTTTGTAGGGATGGATGTATTTCAATATTTTCCTATCTTGGTGTTCCGTATTAAGGATTGCTCCATGTTCTGGTATTGTCTGGGCTTTAAGGTATTAAAAGTTGATATTCATTGGAAGCTGCTGCTATTTGTAACCATGCCAATTATGTGACGAAAAGTTTGTCTGCTCTTCTTGTTTGAGGAATCATACAAAAGAACTTATCCTGGTGTGGATTTAGATGTTCTCAATATTTTCCAGTTAAAGTTTTTATAGAATCTTATGATGTGCACCAGCACAACCACTGACACTTGCACATTTACACTTGTTAAGGCTGTCATATGGTTTTTAACATTCTTGATACTTTGGCTGCTTAATTTATTGTCCCCACAAATGCATAATGGAACATAGGACTGCAGTTGTTGCGTATAAACCAGGCAGCTCAAGTTACCTAGCATTTAGTTACCCCATTTCTCTCCTTTTGTATGTAATGTAGTATATATCAAGTAATCACTGTGTTTTAATTGATTTTCCATAGAATCACTCCCGTCAACTATGGTTAAACGTCCTGGTTAAGAACCCATGCTCCTTCGATTTAAAGTATGTATTATAAAAATACTGATATGGCGTAAGTAATAGGCAGTTTGCCACTCCTTAAAGGCTGTTAGTGTAGCTTCTCATGTGATGCTACTTATCTTCTTTTTTTCACTGCTTTGTTCTTTTTTCTTGAACCTTAACTCCTTAAGTAGTGTCTTTTACCTCCAGTCAGCAGGTGATATCAGCATTTTTTTTCCTATTTATTCTTCAGATACAAATAATAGGAATGTAGTTTACCAGTTTCAATTCCGGCAGCAAGATTATGATTCCTCTAATGTTATTTCATTTCTGTTATGTTGGTGAGTCAGTGACATAGATTCCTACTTCATGTTTTGATTACACTTATTGACAAATATCCCCTATCATTAATTTTTTTTTTTTTTTTTTGCTCATAATCTGGTAAAGCTCCTGCACCAACGGTATTCTTCTAGTGGAACAGGTGGCATCCACTTAGTATATTTCTTGTTCTTAAATCATCGACAACTACTAATGAAGGACTCCTCGAAAAGTTTTAAGGACTAGTAATCTTTTTAAGAATCTAAAAGATTCAGTTTTATACACTGAGTCATGAGTCCACAGAGATGGAGCATGATAGATTATTAATTTTACAAAATATGTTATTTAGATGTTTTGACCTTTATATGATCCTGATGTCTTTCCTTTGCAGAATGTTACTAGCTTTTAGTGAGCAGACAGTAGGTAAAAAATTTCCAGAGAATGCTTCTGACCAAGAAATGCTTGAGATTGTAATGCTCAGGTAGGATCTCCTGCTTTGTAAAACATTCTATCTGGAGTGTGAAAGAATTGGTGACATGCAGAAGTGTCTATCCTACAAGTCATAACTCTCTCATGCATTAAGGCTGATTTGACTGGACTTTTCAATGTACTTTTGTTGAATTTTTCACTAGTTAAACAGCATCTTAAATTTTTGGCATCGATTAAGTTGCATATCGGCAATATCTTATTTGATCAGATATGTCATAAGTCTACGAGCTGTACATATTAGTTTAAGTGAAGTGCCCAAGACTTATTTTCCTTCCGTCTTCTTCCATTTTATATTTTCTTTTTTAATCAATTTTATATTTTTCTTATCTCTATACATCACTTCGTGATAATAAACCTGGACTCACAACTAAATAACACGGAAAGCATGCATTTGGAAATGCAACCAGTTCGAATCCCATATATGGGATGTTATGGTTGAATAGTATGAAGCTCAGCAACTGTTTATATCTCTCTCTTTTTTTTTTTTTTTTTTTTTTTTCCTATGCAAATTTTATCTTGGAACACCAACTGTGGTGCAACCCAAGTACAAAATATATTGTGGTTATAATTTGAAGTCTCCACATAAATGAGACAAGGCAAAAACTACCTTTCACACCCCACACTGCATATCCTCGTATATGCTATCAAACCAATGAAAAAGTGGACCCTGATGAACTATATTACTAACCTTCCAATGGAGGATTGAGTATATGGTAAAGTAGTGGAAGTTTCCCAACTCAGTGAGAAAGACAGGCTTTCTAAATTCAAATTGGGAAGGAAGATTATTAGATCCTAATGCCTTTTGCTCTAAGAACTATAGAGGGCAACATTTATTTTTCATAATTAGGGTTTTCCAAATGGAAAATTTTAATTTTGGTTTCGGTGGAAACACTTAGAGTCTCTTTTCTTTACCATTTTTCAAGCCGTTTTCTGTTTTCGATTTTTCAAAACAGTGAAGACGCTTTCTATTTCCTATTTTCGAAAACGCATTTTTGAAAACAAGTTAAAAATTTAGTAAGAAAACCCGAAACGATAAATTTGTCGTTTTTGGTGTTTTCAGTTATAATCAAGTCAAAATTTTCAAAACGCATTTTGAGTGTTTTTAAAATAATTTTTCAAAATACCAAAAAGAACATAATTTTAATAATCTCAAAATGGACACACAAAACCAAAATGAATTTAAAATTCAAAATACAAAGAGAACAGCCCTTTAATTTTGGAAACCGTTTGATAGCAGCGAACAAATACTGGTAGAATATTTAAAACTGAAATTAGTTTCAAAACTTAAGTAGAAGGACTAGAAAGTGCAATGAGGCAGTCTTATTATGAGTGGAGATGAGACATATAGACATGAAAGAGTGGGGATTGAGGACACTTTGTTTTTGTGATTTTGCAAGAAAAAAAGAGTGGTGGTACATTCCATAATTTGGATGTGATGAGTTGGACAATGTTATCCACAAGCGGATGTTGCAAATTGTAGGCTTTCAGTATCTTAAGAATCCTTGCGACATGTCATGTGATGTCTAGACTTTATAACCCTTTATGTGTGAGGGGGTGCATCTTCATGCACATAGATCAATGCAATCATGCACAATCTCTGTGTAAACCAGGCACCGGTGAACAAAGTGTCAAGTTACTGAATCAATTTTGTGTTGTAGGTACGAAAAAGAACTTATGCATCCCATACAGGGTCTTATGGGTGGAGAGCTTGCTCGCAGTCTTCTTATCCAGGTTATATACTTTTCTTTTATGACCTCCAGCGATTTTCTGGTTTCGTGATCTGAGTTAACAACTTCTCTACAAACAGGTTCAGAAGCTAAAATTGGATATTGAAGAGTGAGTTATTTAAATTGAGATATTTTTTATAGAAATCCTACGTTTGTAACTTGAGTTTTTCCCTCACGATTAATCCTTAAAACAGAGCAATGCTTGAGCTGGACCAAATTCTGAGGGCCAACGAAATTAACTTTGCTATTCTAGCTGCTTTGCCAGCTTTCTTTCTCTCCCTTCTTCTAGCCATGTTGGTGCGTGCCTGGTTGAAACAGGTACACAATTTAGGCTCTACTTCTGGAATGTTACTTCGTATATGGTCTTAGGAATATATGTTCTTGTTGGTTACCTAATTACCTGTTTTTGTCAATGTCAACTTCGTATTTTTGTTGAATCTGAAGAAAGATCAATGCCATCCTTTTCTTCTGAATATTTTCTTTTAAATCCGTATAAGTTTGAATGGTATGGGTCAATCTTAGATACTATCTAATTGTCGTTTTTGGTTATTGCTCAACTTTAAGAATAAATAGACAGTTACCTTGTGTTATAATGTAACATCTTACAATCTTTGCAGTTCATTTGAGGTGAAAATCAGTTGAGATATCCTATAATGTTTAGCATTCCTTTGCTCTTTTGCCTCTTGACCTGCTTACCTTATTTTCTTAGCCATAATTTACACCTGAAATTGTTTAGCTGCATAACTGATAAGTAGTTTGTTGGATTAATAGTCCACCAGTTGTTAACATTGTTAACTCAACCACTAAGTTCCTTTCTCTCAAGAATTAGTAGCTGCATTAGTCATAAATCTAACACATACACATAAATGTAGGTGAAGTTATAGAGAACATGTTTCCCACGTTGCTTCCGAAGCATCTGTCTTACAAAAATTTCCAGCAATCCAAACTGAATATCTGCTTTTTATTTCTGTGGACTATCATGATAAATCTTTCTTATTGCTTCCCAAATCACCTTCATTAGAGTAATTTCATATATTTAGTAAAAGAGACATGGTTTATCTGTGTACTTTACTTTTTTATGTGTAGCTATCTATTATCTCACGGGTCACTGTTTTGAAAGTGTAGTGTCAAGTGTTGGAAAATTATTGAGCGCACACATATTTAACTCCCGCTGGACAAAATTAGTAAAGTCAAATAAGGATATATATGTTGCACTTACAAACACGTTATACTTTCAATTCAGCTAAATACTGATAACGGAGTTGCCTTGTACAAATTTAAATTCACAGTCTGTGTTTCAAATTTTCTTACCAGTGACAGAATGCAAGCACGTGTCCCCAATTCACAACTTAATACATCAGCTTAATAAGACTTAGCATAGGAAGGATTATCACATGATGTATTAAATTCCATATTATGTATGGTTCTTTTAAGTGATAGCTGATTACTTATTGCCTTAAATTAGGATACCAGAGCTGAAGGTAGAGGAAGAATAGCTAGGATTCAGAGAAGGCTGCTGCTAGTGGAAATTGAAAGAGCTATTATGCAGTTTCGAACTTACGAAGACCATGGATTGGTATGTCTCTAGCTATTTTGTGATTCTTTACTTGGCACATTAACTTGTCTAGTAGGATACTCTTGGAAAAATATGATCTGTCTTTGACTATGTCTCTGTTGGGAAAATGCCTGATCTGTTAGAAACTTCTCTTCCTTAAATATACACACAAGATATGATCTAGTGGAAGGCTTAGAGGGAATATTTTGGGGCCACATAATCACATTTGTGGAGGTTTTATTTTCAATAGTAAGAGATATATTTTTTGAGTTTGATTCATGCGGGTGCCACTAACAACTAATCCTCCGTTTGGCAATCAATTTATAAAAATCCAATCAAAGTCAAACATTAATTTCAACCACATATGCATACCTACTAATTTATTACCCACACATTTCGTGGGATACACTAATGTTCCTCGTTATAAAGTGATTTATAAATTTGCCAAACGGAAACAAGTTTGTCCCAGATAAAACCCTCATCTTTTTTCAAGGTTTTCCTTTAATCCTGTACATGTATATTCTTCGCACAGGTGGCTATTATCTATTTACATTTAAATTTTTTCACTCACGCGACGATGAGATCTTTTTGTGTATCTACAGGATAAAGATGCTCAATGCATGTTTGGTCTGGAATTATACTTTCTTGATTGCTTACACTGTGCTGTGGAAGGGCATGCAAAGGCAACGGGTGAATGGATATGGTTAGTTTTCATTTCATTAGTTATAACTATCTGAAACTTGTAGGAGCTTCTTCCCCTCACACCCAGCACATTCACCCACACAGAAAGGTTGGATCAGTGTGTGTGTTTGTAGTGTAACCAATAACTGACCAGTTGTTACTATGAATAGTTTGAGACAGGATATTATTGATTTGGCGAAGCCAGGCCTTGAAACTGAACATAAGCTCGCTATTGCATCGCGCATGGAGCGCGTATATGACTGCTTGCTTCCGTCATCAAATCGCAGATAATTCTGCTGCTACCTTGGCCTGTGGTTTGCTTCTACATGTATGCAATAAATCTCGGCCAATTTGTTGTGGAGTTGCTAGTATCATTTTGGTACAGTCAAGGGAAGAGCATAATAATCATTCGCACAAGTTGTGATAATCTAGTATTTTGTTATGGCACGTGTACCAAATTTATTGGTTGATCAATGATTAATCAAGTTTTCTTGTACCTATCTACTGGAGGAAGGAGAAAAGAACTTAACTGTCAACAATCGGAACTGAGAATATTCATGGACCCGCTACCGGGACCATAGCGAAGGTTTATTGTGTTTGATGCAGGATTCATTTGTTGCTACACTCAGTAGCAAGTCTTCTCGGTTATGATTGTGAAACATGAAATATTTACCACGTTACATATATAATTTATTGAAATTTGGTGCAAATTGAATGTGGAAATGGTCTCTTAACGTTTGTTTTTTTGGCATAAATGTCCTTACTTACGTGTTTTGGTGCGCAATTGGTACTTTTTTATGAAAAAGACCAATGTATCTTTAATTTTTATTAGGAAAATTTTCTGTTGGGTCCGTAACCTTTGGAAAAAGTAAAAATGGGTCCCAAATTTGTATTTAATAATATTTAGTTAAACGTGTTAAATATATCATATAGCCGTGTTGATTAAATCTTCCAGAAGATAAAAAAGAAGTCAAATTATCATGCTTTGTGTGTATGTATCGCTATGAGATGCGATGTGGAATTCGAATAAAAAATTAGACAAATAAATAACAAAATGGCGCATATAGTTTTATGACAATCAATCAATAATATTGTATTTTTATTTTTATTTGGTAATGGTCATTCAACGGCCTATCACAATTTTTAAGCTACGATTCTTAAGATTGGACGGGGGATCTATGATTTGTCTTTGCCCCTACTCGAGTATATCTGAATGAACAATTAGGTACGAGGAAGGGGGTGGGGGCACAGAACCTTGTCTCCAAGGAACTACAATCAACATTTTTTTCTAACCATACAGGCCATTCTAGGCAAAAAAAACAAGTAACAATTATAATAATACTACACTTCAACAGGGCTAACCTCCAAAGATTTGAGACTGGCAGGGTCAAGATGTAAAGGTTGAGATCCACTTGTATATATATCAAAGGTTTGGGACTTCTACATGCTAAAATATCCACACCAACCCCTAATTTCAGCATGCAACAACGCATACTTAGCAATGATATGATCTATCATTAGGAATGGCAAAAAAATTCGACAAACCTGATACCCGCGAAGCCCCGCTTAATCGGGTATTCAAGGAGGGGAATTTTTCTCTGTGGCGGGGCCAGGTAACGGGCGCTCCCACCCCGTTTAAATTTTTTTTTTTTTTAAAATTCAATACTTTAAATGGAAAATTTCACCAAATTTCATTAGGTCTAATAGAAAATGACAACGAAAATTATTTGTCTAAATCTAATGAATGTGGACAATAAAAATAAATTATCAAAAACTTAAAAAAAAAAAATTTAAACGAGGTTGTAAACGGGGCAAGAATCCCGCCCCTCCTCGCCTTGCCTTAAACGGGTAACGGGGCAGGGGAGGTTGCCCCGTCCCGTTGCCATCCCTATCTATCATTTTAGCCTCTCGCCTAAAAAAAATGTTGAAAAAAAAATAATTCTAAAATGCAAATAAGAAGTGACCCCTCAAGAGTACTTGGGAGGATTATTTACCACCACTGGTTTGTTGCTACAATCAGATTCAGTATCTAGATGGGTAGCTCTGTCTGTAAATGACTACCTGAAACAAAAAAAAAGAAGGAAAAAAAAAACTTATTGGTCCCTATAGCTGCTGCTTCCACCAACAATTTCCAATTCAGCTCAAACCTCTGCTTCAATTGGGCTTAAAAAAATGTCTGAATCACTCATTGAACCACAAAATGTCATTGATTTTGTTGTAAACAAAGGCAATGGAGTGAAGGGTCTTTCTCAAACAAACCTCAAAAGCATCCCTGAACTGTACATCAATCCCCCTGAAGAAAGACTAGACCCAACCCAAGTTGTGACACAAAAATCCATACCCACAATTGATGTGTCCAAATGGGATGACCCAGAAACTGCAGATTCAATCTGCAGGGCAGCAGCCCAGTTGGGTTTCTTTCAGATCATCAATCATGGGATCCCACTTGAGGTTCTTGAAAATGTGAAGAAGGCTGCCCATGAGTTTTTTGAGTTGCCAGTTGAGGAAAGAAGGAAGTATTTGAAAGAAAATTCACCCTCTCCTACTGTGGAGTTGATGACTAGTCACAGTCCTCTGGTTGATACGGTTTTGGAGTGGAAAGATTATCTTATCCATTATTGTGATGGTCAAGAAATTGAGGGCTCCAAATTCTGGCCTCATGTATCCAGGTGAGTTTTATGGATCCATATTTATTTATTTAGCCTTAATTTCTTATTAATCATGGTGATAAGTTGTTCATCTGTAAATCCTTCTTGCCTCATGTAACAAGCATAGAGTAGAATTCACACTTAAACAGGCTGGGACGTTTTTCAATTTGCTTCTAAGCAACGACATAGGACGTGGTACTCAATAACAATCTAACCCCCTTTAAATTGACATCCACGGCCGTCTTCGTCCCAGCTGGGTGAGTTCGTGAAACTAGTCTTTTTGTGGAAGTAGCAATCTCCAGATTGCATCATCCGCATCAAGGGTCATCCTAAAAGGGTACCTGCTTTGCTTACCCGTAAAATTGACTTGTAATGAGATGATGCTCGTATAGTTATAAAACGTAGTGATGTGGGACGCAGTTAGAGTCTTCGCATGGTTTTTGAGAAGAATTAATGAAAATGAAGCAATTTTTCACAATAATATGCTTACTGGCTATTCTTAACTAGCCAACATTTTGTTACTCTATTGCAGAGATCAAGTTTTGGAGTACTTAAAGTGGACAAAACCTATTATTAGAAAGCTACTCAATGTGTTACTCAAGGGACTTAACACAGACGAAATTAATGAGGCAAACGAATCTATCCTAATGGGTAAACTGGTTGTTGACTTCATCTATTACCCTGTGTGCCCCGACCCAGATCTTGCAGCAGGAGTAGGCCGCCACTCTGATGTATCATTGATTACTGTCCTCCTTCAGGATGATGTGGGCGGCCTTTATGTCCGAGAACCTGAAGGGAATGGCTGGATCCATGTAACACCAGTTCAAGGGGCACTTGTTATAAACATAGGGGATGTATTGCAGATTATGAGCAATGACAAATACAAGAGCATTGAGCATAGGGTCACTGTCAATGGAACCAAGAACAGAGTTTCAGTGCCTATATTTGTTAACCCTGTACCTAATGCAGTTATTGGTCCTGTGCCAGAAGTTCTTGAGGGTGGTGTCAAACCAATATATAAGCAAGTTGTCTACTCAGATTACTTCAACTATTTTTTCAGTAAAGGCCATGATGGTAAGGAGACAATTGAGTATGCAAAAATATGACACTTATCTTACTCAGAAATTTTCAAGGTACTATACTATCCTTTCCTGTAATATTGGTCAATAAAGTCTGTTAGTCCAATATTTATATTTCCTTCTCTGCTTCAATAGATCTTTAATTATATCAGTAAAAGGGGTGTTCGAGTTTTGGCACTTTAAGCAATTTGTTAATGAAGTAGCCCTGTTCTTACTTAGTTATTCATTGATGGCGCTTTACACCCCATTTTCTCCTATCACCACCTGTAATGTGTAGAGAAAATTCTTCATCCTGTTGACCGGACACTCCCAGTAACTGCAGAGCAAGTTTTTCTTGAGGGACCTCCATTTTGTCCGAATGGAAGGTGCAAAAGGATGCTATTAAAAAGGATCGGTGGCATAGGACACTGGGATTGCTACGGAATTAATTAGTTCTCATAGGCTCTTCCAAGGATCCCTCGTCTAAGATCCTTGGGAGGAGGATCAAGTTGGCGCTTGCAAACACCTTGATGCACTTATGCTTATCTCCATTCAACTCTTCAAAATTGAAGGCTATAAGATTTCTTACCTTTTCGCTAACCATGGTTAACTTAATTACTTAAAGATACTTCACACTAAAGTTAACTAATTAGTAGCAGCACCAACGACCTGATTCTTAGCTCGGTTTTTTTTCCGAGGAAAAAAATATATTCTTGAGAATTTGTCGACGAGCATCACAGACATTCAAGTGATAGTTTGCAAGCAAAAAACAAGTCAATATCCAAAACAAAAACCAAATTTGCATGCATAGAATACGACATTGGAATTGCACAAGTTGGGCATCAGATCACGAAATCTTAGTGACCAAAAAGGATTTGCCCTGTATCGTGTAAAAAAATAGTAAAGCCAACAAGTTCGTAACCCACAATCTTGCTTCTTTTGCAACTGCTGTCAGTCACGGGCCTAGAGAACTTTCATACCCATGCAGTATGGCAAGATTGCTATATGTGGGTTTATGAAGGGAAATTTGTGGCACAATGATGTTAGTGGAAATTACTCAAAACATTACTTTTCAATATTCCATTTCCAAAATCAGATCTCAAGTTTCATCTTTCCAAAANATTGGTCCCTATAGCTGCTGCTTCCACCAACAATTTCCAATTCAGCTCAAACCTCTGCTTCAATTGGGCTTAAAAAAATGTCTGAATCACTCATTGAACCACAAAATGTCATTGATTTTGTTGTAAACAAAGGCAATGGAGTGAAGGGTCTTTCTCAAACAAACCTCAAAAGCATCCCTGAACTGTACATCAATCCCCCTGAAGAAAGACTAGACCCAACCCAAGTTGTGACACAAAAATCCATACCCACAATTGATGTGTCCAAATGGGATGACCCAGAAACTGCAGATTCAATCTGCAGGGCAGCAGCCCAGTTGGGTTTCTTTCAGATCATCAATCATGGGATCCCACTTGAGGTTCTTGAAAATGTGAAGAAGGCTGCCCATGAGTTTTTTGAGTTGCCAGTTGAGGAAAGAAGGAAGTATTTGAAAGAAAATTCACCCTCTCCTACTGTGGAGTTGATGACTAGTCACAGTCCTCTGGTTGATACGGTTTTGGAGTGGAAAGATTATCTTATCCATTATTGTGATGGTCAAGAAATTGAGGGCTCCAAATTCTGGCCTCATGTATCCAGGTGAGTTTTATGGATCCATATTTATTTATTTAGCCTTAATTTCTTATTAATCATGGTGATAAGTTGTTCATCTGTAAATCCTTCTTGCCTCATGTAACAAGCATAGAGTAGAATTCACACTTAAACAGGCTGGGACGTTTTTCAATTTGCTTCTAAGCAACGACATAGGACGTGGTACTCAATAACAATCTAACCCCCTTTAAATTGACATCCACGGCCGTCTTCGTCCCAGCTGGGTGAGTTCGTGAAACTAGTCTTTTTGTGGAAGTAGCAATCTCCAGATTGCATCATCCGCATCAAGGGTCATCCTAAAAGGGTACCTGCTTTGCTTACCCGTAAAATTGACTTGTAATGAGATGATGCTCGTATAGTTATAAAACGTAGTGATGTGGGACGCAGTTAGAGTCTTCGCATGGTTTTTGAGAAGAATTAATGAAAATGAAGCAATTTTTCACAATAATATGCTTACTGGCTATTCTTAACTAGCCAACATTTTGTTACTCTATTGCAGAGATCAAGTTTTGGAGTACTTAAAGTGGACAAAACCTATTATTAGAAAGCTACTCAATGTGTTACTCAAGGGACTTAACACAGACGAAATTAATGAGGCAAACGAATCTATCCTAATGGGTAAACTGGTTGTTGACTTCATCTATTACCCTGTGTGCCCCGACCCAGATCTTGCAGCAGGAGTAGGCCGCCACTCTGATGTATCATTGATTACTGTCCTCCTTCAGGATGATGTGGGCGGCCTTTATGTCCGAGAACCTGAAGGGAATGGCTGGATCCATGTAACACCAGTTCAAGGGGCACTTGTTATAAACATAGGGGATGTATTGCAGATTATGAGCAATGACAAATACAAGAGCATTGAGCATAGGGTCACTGTCAATGGAACCAAGAACAGAGTTTCAGTGCCTATATTTGTTAACCCTGTACCTAATGCAGTTATTGGTCCTGTGCCAGAAGTTCTTGAGGGTGGTGTCAAACCAATATATAAGCAAGTTGTCTACTCAGATTACTTCAACTATTTTTTCAGTAAAGGCCATGATGGTAAGGAGACAATTGAGTATGCAAAAATATGACACTTATCTTACTCAGAAATTTTCAAGGTACTATACTATCCTTTCCTGTAATATTGGTCAATAAAGTCTGTTAGTCCAATATTTATATTTCCTTCTCTGCTTCAATAGATCTTTAATTATATCAGTAAAAGGGGTGTTCGAGTTTTGGCACTTTAAGCAATTTGTTAATGAAGTAGCCCTGTTCTTACTTAGTTATTCATTGATGGCGCTTTACACCCCATTTTCTCCTATCACCACCTGTAATGTGTAGAGAAAATTCTTCATCCTGTTGACCGGACACTCCCAGTAACTGCAGAGCAAGTTTTTCTTGAGGGACCTCCATTTTGTCCGAATGGAAGGTGCAAAAGGATGCTATTAAAAAGGATCGGTGGCATAGGACACTGGGATTGCTACGGAATTAATTAGTTCTCATAGGCTCTTCCAAGGATCCCTCGTCTAAGATCCTTGGGAGGAGGATCAAGTTGGCGCTTGCAAACACCTTGATGCACTTATGCTTATCTCCATTCAACTCTTCAAAATTGAAGGCTATAAGATTTCTTACCTTTTCGCTAACCATGGTTAACTTAATTACTTAAAGATACTTCACACTAAAGTTAACTAATTAGTAGCAGCACCAACGACCTGATTCTTAGCTCGGTTTTTTTTCCGAGGAAAAAAATATATTCTTGAGAATTTGTCGACGAGCATCACAGACATTCAAGTGATAGTTTGCAAGCAAAAAACAAGTCAATATCCAAAACAAAAACCAAATTTGCATGCATAGAATACGACACTGGAATTGCACAAGTTGGGCATCAGATCACGAAATCTTAGTGACCAAAAAGGATTTGCCCTGTATCGTGTAAAAAAATAGTAAAGCCAACAAGTTCGTAACCCACAATCTTGCTTCTTTTGCAACTGCTGTCAGTCACGGGCCTAGAGAACTTTCATACCCATGCAGTATGGCAAGATTGCTATATGTGGGTTTATGAAGGGAAATTTGTGGCACAATGATGTTAGTGGAAATTACTCAAAACATTACTTTTCAATATTCCATTTCCAAAATCAGATCTCAAGTTTCATCTTTCCAAAATCAGATATTTCATTTTTAAATATTAAATATCAATTATACAATTTTTATCACAAACCCTAATCAATTTTCCTCCTACTTCCCTCATCTCTTTCTTTTCTCTCTCTACAAACGACCCCCCTCTCTCTCTACAGACGAGCTCGACCCAAGCGAAGGCGACGAGAGCTACGTCGGTCATAGAGCAACAGTGACGAGCGTCGCTCAGCCGCTGTGCGACGATGAAAGGGAGCGCCGCTACGTGCTGTGAAACCAAGTGAGAACGCCTCGCCGCCGCATGTGAGATCACCGCTGGTTCAACCCCTCCGCCTCTTGCTCCTTTTGTTGATTCAACCCCTCCGCCCATAGTTGTTGTAGTGCGATTTGGCCGAGAGATGTGAGCGATTTGGCCGATCGGTGGATCTAGGTGGCGGTGGCTATGGTACGGTGCAGATAATGGTGTGGTGGTCGGCGTTTGTTTGTGGTAGTGGTGATTTGGGGCTTTTGTGGTGGCTTGTGGTTGCGAATCTTGTGTTTTCGGTGTTGTGGGTGCGATTGCAGTGCTGTGGATGCCGTGGTGGGCAGTGGTGTGTGTTTGTGCGGCTGTGGCTGTGGCTGTGCGATGGTGGGCAGTGGTTGGGTATGGGTTTCTGGCGGTGGTGGTGGAGGTTGTTGGTGCCTGGAGATTTGATAGAGTTGATTGTCATGGTTTTTGTTAGCAGTTGACTGGATCTGGTGGTGGCTATTTGTTGGTGGTGGTGCTGTTGTTATGGTGGCGGCGATAAGCGGGTGAGGATGGTCACAATGGTGGTCACGGAAGTTGGTGGTGGTCACAATGATGGTCACAGAAGTCGGTGGTGGTCACGGGGTGGTGCTGTTGGTCTTGGCGACAACGATGGTGATGGTCACGGGAGTGGTCACAAAAGTCTGTGGTGGTCACGAGGGTGGTCAAGAAATTCGGTGGTGGTGACCTTAAAATTGTGACTAAAACTTAATCTGCGATGGGGGTGGTCACAAAAAAAATCTAACTGTAACTTTAAAATTGTGACTAAAAATTAATCTGTGACCAATAAATTTGAAAATATGTGACTAATAGATAACTGTGACCTGTAATTTTTTGATCTGTGACCAATAAAATAATATGTGACCTGATTTGTGACCTCGAAATAATCTGTGACCTACAAAATTTTTGATCTATTACCAATAAAAAAAACGTGACCTAT